CCACTCTTGTCTGACTGCCCCCCCTTCCCCTGCCGCCGTCGCTCTTCTTTGACTGCCCCCCCACCCACTCTTCTTCCCATTTCCTCTGCAGTTTTCATGTATATAATCATGTTTATTTAATATATTATTATTTTAAATATTATTGCATGTTTTTAAAAATTAAACTACCAAACACAATTTCAGTTTTTTTTAAACTGAAAACAATCTCAGAATAAAACTACCAAACGCATTTTTAGAAATGATTTCAAAATGAAATTGAAAACGTTTTCGTTTTCATTTTCATACAGAAAACAAAGTCATTTTGGAACGAGTTCCAAACGCACCCTTTATTTTTTGTTTTTGTTTTTGTTTCTGTTTTGTGCTGTCGTTCGACAGAGAAGAGTAAGTGAGTAATGTGATTGTCATTTATGTTATAAAGTGAATTGTCATTTGAATGTGAAGTCTTTTCACTCAAGAATGATGATTCGTTATCCTTTTAATTTCTTGTCGTTAATTGTTGTTGATACCTGAATTCGTATTAGGCCCATTAAGGGTTCAGGCTCAATTTTTTTCAGCGATATAATTGGGCTCGTTTCGTGGACTCAAGTTACGCTCAGGGAACTCCCGTGGGTTATGGTTTGGTGGACCATGAGTAATCACACAGGTCCATTTTTTTTATTTAACCCAATTTGAAACCCGTTTGGGGGTCTTTCAGAATTAGTCAAATTAAGCATAAGTTATTGATGAAGGATTCAACCAAAAAAAAAAAAAAAGCCTTCCCTTTGTCTTTAGAAGCCCAAAATCCTTTATTTCAACCCTTGAAAGGCCCAAAACTCAAGCCTCATCCTTCAAAAATTTTCTTAAATTTAAAGGCCTGAGAAATCCATTAGTTTTGGCTCATTTGGAGGCTTTTCTTGCAATCAGACATGCTTCTCGGAGCACTTCTTGTGTCAGGCATGCTTTCCCAGCACTTTTCCGTATCAGGTTGTCTGTTCGGAGCACTCGTACGCATTCAGAGCAACCTGGTGTTGGAGCAATCTGTTGTCAGAGCAAGTGCAATGGCTACTTGGTCATTCTCGTACAAGCAACCTCCGATGATGGTTTAACGTGCGGTAAGACCCCATAAAAAGGAAAGTCTTTGGAGCACTTGGGAAAGCTATCTGACACCATTCTTCCTAATGGAAATGCTCCAACAGCCTGCCGTTGTTTTCTCCATTCCAGAACCTTCCATTTCATTTCTGGACCATCTATTTGTCAAACCAATAAAGGCCTCTGATAGCCTTCTTCCAAACGAAAATGAGTGTTCAAACCTTCGTCAAAGTAGTTGTCAAGCACTCTCATCTCCTCCTATAAATGTCCATTCACCATTTTCATTTCAGGACACCAAGAACACACATGCACATCAGAAAACACCATCAGAGTGATGAAACTCTTGAGAAATCATATTCCTTTGAGTGTTTTCTTCAAGTATTTTGCTACAAAGACTTCGAGTCTTCTTCAAGTTCTTGAGAAATTAATAGTTTCTAAGTGTTGACCTCTTTAGAAACTCCTCAAGAACACTTTCCAAATCCTTTTCCACCACCATCTAAGTGATTCTAGAGTTTCTTCTACACTTTCCCAAAATTATTCAAGCCTTTAACCTCGGAGCCACTCTTGTCCACCATCGAAGGGAGCGCTCTAAACGATCTTCACGCTCTCGGAGTGACTTGTATTTCCCCTCGGAGCTTTTTCCTCAGACTCTTCCTTATTACGTTTGTCCATCAGCGCCTTATCCACCAATGAAGCTACATACTCAAAGCCTCCAAAGCAACCCAAAAACTACTTTTGGAGCCTTTCTCCATCAAAAGGCTTTATGCACCTCTCGAGTTACCTTCTCCATTTAACTACGTGATCACTCATCCCACCATTCTTCATTATTATTTTTTTTTTTGGATTTTCTAACTTTTTTTACAGGAGTATTTTCGTGATTTTGGCAATAAAGAGGGTCCTAGAACACACGTTCTTCGGTGTAATTTGGGCCTAGGGGAACCACACCACCAGTGGAGGTCCTACCATTGTCATCTACTTTGAAGGCCATTAAGTGTTTTGGCCACATTAGAACCGCCACTAACGAGTCAAATACTTACGTGTGTAAACCCTCGCCACATCATACCCTCTGAATCTACCGGACCCCGACATTAAATCGACTCAACTTGGGATCTTAGGCCGCTAATCATGCCTCCTCGCTCCAAGAGAATCTATCCTGAAAGAACCTCGTAAGAGATGGAGGAATCTGCCTCTTAACATGACACCAATGCTGCTCACCAAGAGGAGGAGGAACAATCCACAATCTCGGATATTATGGCCATGCTCTGAGTCCTCAGAGAATCTCACAATGAGCTTCTCTCTAAAGTAAACTTGCTCTGAGAGCGTTTTGAGCCTGAACCTGCTATGGTGCCCGCCAACGATGTGACTCCACAGAAGGCTTCTACTGCTGGAGCACCTAAGCCTTCAGAGTAAGCATCCGACGGACCTCTCACCCGTGATGATGTCCTTGCTATTTTGGAGCAACACACTCGTTGAATCACTCCAGAGGGTGCTAAGTATTTACCTCAGCCACCTTATCCTTCGGAGCTGTACCAAAAGCTATACCCTCTGAGGTATGAGACTCCATCTTTCATGCTCTTTAATGGCCGCAAGGGCAACCCGAAGAAGCATATCAGCCGCTTTCTCGATGCCCTTGGTAAGTATGTTGGAGATTGTGACCTTCACCTCTGAGAATTCTCCAAGTCTCTCACGGACAGAGCGTATACCTAGTACACAACTTTAGCTCCCGGCTCCGTCAGGACTTGGGAATAAATGGTCACTCATATTTGTAGGAAATACTTCCAAAATGAAGAGAAAGTTACAATCATCCAACTCAGGAACACTCGTTAGAAGCCTTGGAGAAGATCTCTTGGATTTCGTTCGGATATTTCGTGACCTTGCTCTTGATTGCTACAACAAGAATAATGAAGGGGCTATTGTTGACATTTGCATTAACAACATCATTTCAAAGTATCGTGTCTATTTTGAGAACATAGGCATTTGCTAATTTTCCCGCCTCCTTGAGTTTGCTTGAAGGATTGCTATGCCTATCCGAGTTTCTGATTTGCACCGGATTAGAGGGAGAAGAAAGCTTATGCTCTGCAAACTCTTGCTGTCTCTGACAAGCCGTCCAAGCCTCCCTTGTCAAAGAAGTAATATGCTCAATCGTCGAATGCTTTGCTGCCTTCGTTGCCTTGCTTCGATGAAGGAATATCATGTTGTGTTGGAATAACTGCTTCATGATGAACTCATCCTTCCTTTCATCCCAAGAAGATCACCCTTTGAATTTGGCAAGAAGCACCCAAGGTAGTGCCTCTACCATCAGTACGTGAGTCACCACACGTCCAAGTGCAACACTGTTCGGGGGATTCTTCATGCAAAAATCAAAGAAGGCAAGAAAAACTCATAGCATTGACTATGATCCTCTTCCTCATCACTAAGGAAAGGAATCTTGTGTCCTAATTTCCAGCTGCTCCGATGAGACGGAAAACAATGACTTCGACGAGGAGAGTCAAGCGTGGCTTCATGATCCAAAGCCTCTAAAAGTAATTTAAGAGCCCTCCGGCAACTGTAAAAAGGCCTTCTGGAGGATCTACACTGCGCCACCTCATTTTGGTATGCCTATGCTGCCTCTGGCGAGATGGACGATGACCTAGAAGAAGAAGGAACCTCAATGCAAACACCTCATGTTAAGAGAAAGCTCGAATCCTAAGAAGAGCTCTAGCTAGCCTTCAACAACATTGAGAAGAAAGTTCCGGAGCTGCTTGTAGAGCCCTCCGTCGACATGCTCCGATGGGAGTTGGCTGCCAAAGATGGGAGAGTTATTGCAAAGCATCATCTCACCTACTCTCAACCGGAGCCGAAGGTGATAATTATAAGTTCCCCTACATAAGTGTCGCCTGACAAAGAATCCCCTCTGAACTTGCCTTTGGAGTTATGCACTTCGGATTCGTCCTTCTAGCAAGCTGCGGCTTCGAAGCAAACTGCTCCCGCGCCTATGACCATTAAGGAATCTTATCCAACTGAAATTCCCGATTGGTATTTTCCTGGAGATCCTTTCAAAGATGATGATTTTCTCGTCACCGATGAAGTCATGGCCATGTTCCCT